TTTCAAATATAAAATGCTCTATTATGAAATAAAACTGCTTTGAAGCGTGAAAGCTGATCGAGAAGAAGACATCTGCTAAAATATTGTTAGATAACTGAGCTATTGAGAGGTTTTTCAGGAATATGGGATAGCCTTGAAAGTGAAACAGTACAATGATAGCTAATATTTATTAAGCATTTTCCACTTGCCAGGCACTAAACAGCTATAGGAATACAATTTCATGTCCTCCTCTCAGCAAAATTATCATCCTGGGGAGGTCCTGCCACTTTCCCCATTTTACTACAAGGATATTTACAAAATTAAACTCACGTGGTTATTAAGCGTCTGAGCCTGGAATCTAACCCAGGGTCTCTGATTGACCCTTTCCTCCCTGCTGTGCATTCTTTGAAAAGGTATTTCCCACGGTGTTCCCACATGATGTGTAACTTTTAATTAGTGAAAACGACTTTTTAAAAAATTATCAGAACTTTTGAGTGTTACTCGCCAAAATATCTCCTTAAAGGCTACAAATTCCCATCAGGAACACCTGTGAAATGCCTCTTTTGTATCTTCCATTAGTGTCAGTTTATGAGCCAGTATCAAATAATCTGCTGCTCCATAACCACATCACAGCTTCCATCAAGCACCTTTTTCACTACATTTGGTTTGGATTTTGTTTCAGCAACCAATTCATCCCTAATTATAATGATTTGCCAACAATGAGACTGTTAAGACTGCATAGCAAATTCCTAAGGAGATTTCTATAGACACTCCCGCAGACAACATTACTGAGAAGTCTATCTAAAAGTCTGTCTAAAGGTTGTTGTTTGGATAAAAAGAAATAAAGTTTGTAAGGCAGTTAATACAACTAAATGAACTAACGCAGTTAATAGTGAGTGGCCATTAAATGTTAGGCACTTTGAACTCATCTCTTTCAACCCATATTCTAATAAGATAGAACTATTTTTGCACGTATACTACAAATATCATTGTATTGCAAATATGAATATTGATATAGAAATATTTAACTACAAATTTAGTTAAAAACATTACTATTTATAGGCAATCCGACCTTTTTGGTTTGTGTCTTTGACTCAATGAACTAGTATACACAGATAAAACAAACTGGTTTTAATCACCGACTTAAATTTAAAGTTTTATTGCATTTTACTTTTAATTCTCCCCATATTCCAAATCATCTGGAGAGACTTCATCTTAAACCATGAAAAGTAATTCTATCTTTCCCTAGTAAGTTAAAATATGCATATAATTATGTATCTCCTTATTTTTAATTCTAGTATGTACTGGAAGTATATAAATATATGCATGATCTTGCCTTCTTGAAAACATGAAAATTTTATATTATTTTGCTTGGTGTGAAATTTCAAATTATAAATAAAATATTTTAGAAATAATTTTGTAAGTTCTCAGCTAAGTAAAATACCATCATTTGGAAAAATTACCTAAAGAGAGGAAAAGAGGTACATTTTGCTGTGTGGTAGCTTTATTCTCTCTTTTCTAGACTTCTTTGTCTTAACTTGGTGTTCTTAACAAGGAGAGTTAGCACGAATATCAGATACAAATTGTTTAACATTCTCTGAGTCTGTTTTTTCCTGTAACACGTACTTGTAGCAATCATGAAATCAATAGGAATCATGCACATCCTAACTGGGGACTTTACTAAAAAAATGTAAAACCAAAAATGCAAAATGTCTATGGCTTCTGTTTGTCAAGAATTGGTAAAGAGTCCCCTAGATATAGCTGTAATGTTGAGCACGCATGCCACACAGAACGACTTCTAGGTCCCTCTCGAACAGAATGCTCCATTAGGCATTCCACGGGCTCCCCCTTCCCAGCAGGCCTCTGCCCAGCCCAGTTGCCATAGATGGCCGTCAGACACTTGGAATGACATCAGGAGATAATCTGAGCAGGCTCTGCCCTAAAGAATTCAAGCTAGCAGGAGACTGAAGATATCGATGTCTTCTTGGCTGACAACAGCATTCCAAAGGTCAACCAGGGTGAAAAGAGGATGGACTTGGAGCTTCCAGTGCCTTTTCAACAACCAAGCAGCTAAGAAGTATAAGGAAGCTTCCCTGAAGGAAAAAATAAATAAAGACAAAAGAAGCCTGAAAGTATCCTAAAGGTGCCATGGCTATGAAAGGAAAATAAGGCAAGCTATTCCCATGAAGTCAGAGAATTTTAGGACTGATGACATCTCTACTTTTTCAAGGTAAAACTCACCAACAGTTCTCATCCTGAACCAATTCCTACCACTCTGACAACCTACTTCTCCAACATTTTCTGCTGTGACAGCCCCAGGATGGGTGAATATGGAACTTATCGGTATAGAAGTAGAAATTCTTCAGGAGAATAAGCATGGCTAACTTTCGCTGCAGTTTTCCACTTTTCCAGCCCCGTGCGCTACGTTAAATAGCTGTTTTAATCCTCGTAACAAAGTTTCGAGAGTATGTTCCACATTTTACAGATGAAGGAACTGAGGCAAAGGGAAGTTCAGAAACTTCTGTATAATCCTACAGCCACCACATGATAGAGCCAACTGGCTCAGCCACACGGCTTCTTCCTATGAGACCAGCCTTTTCACTAGGCAGCCATGGATGGGTTGAGGCTTCTACCTCATCTGTAAGCACTTGAAGAATTAAAAAATTTTCTCTTAGGTTATTAGATTTCAGACAGAATGAGAACACCTTCTATCACGAACCACATGCAAATCGTAACTTAGGAGAAAGACAATAATTCAAATATGCATTGGCTCAGGAGAAATCCAAGATTTAAAAAGCATTTTACTGTTATTGTTTTAAAATTATTTATCATTCATGAGTATTCTTATCTGAACGCTTAAGGGTCCTTACTAAGGGTTAACTTAAAAACTAATTACCATAAATGGCCAGAATTAATACTGACATTTCACCTCCAGATAACAATAAGAAATATAAGGGATAACCATGGCAAAAACCAACCAACCAAATAAAACACTGAAGTTAGAAAGTTTCTGCTTTGTCTCTAAGTCTTTATGATATGTTCTGTCGCCTTATATGTCTCAGACAGTGTAATCTGTAATGAAGTTTTGTTCAAGTTTTTAACATTTCTGGTCAAATGCCGCCTGAGTGATATCAGTCTAAGACATAATGAATGGATCTGATAATATGTTCATCGAATTTGAGGAAGATTATGCTTTGCTAACAATTCTCACCTCGTGGAACACCTTTCCTCCCTGACCTTAAGAGTGTTTAGTTCTTACTTTAAAAGGATAATTCCATTTCCTCAGAATCTGTTAAGTTTAAGTAAGCACAATGTCATCCCAATTAGTCGCTTTCAAAAGGCATTATGTGAATCTGTGACACTACCAATAAGACATCTTTAGTTTGGGAGAGAGTGTTATCCCCCACGCACCTTCTTCTTTATTAAATGGGATTTCTTCCTGGAGGAATGATTAGATATATTTCCTCTTGCAAAAGAGCACTTTTTTGTCTAAAATCTTCTGTCAGGTTACCTTTCTGTAATTTGCCTAGCCGATCCCACACAAGGTGCCCCGGGCTGGCACAAAGTGTGGCAGACCCTGTCAGGTGACCTTAGCTTCTTTCCAAATTTATGGCATGATTTTGGGATGCATCTCAACTTCTCTGAGCCTGACTTCCTTTCTCTGTAAAAGAAAAGTAGGTGCTTGTGTGTCTTCCCTAAGACCTCTTTCAGCAGGAAAATACTGAAATTCTGACTTTAAGACCTTCCACACCAGTGCCAAGCAATGCAAATGCAGCGAGTGTCCTAAAATTTGGCTGGTATCATAAGGGCGCTTCTTTCTTTTTTTCTAACCAGCATTCACTTAAACTCTATAGCAGCACAGTCCAGTAGAACTTTATGCAATGATGGAAATGTTCAACATCTCAAGTCGAATAAGGTGGCCACTAGCCGGCCGTGGCTATTGAGCACTTCAAATGCGGCTAGTGTAATTAAAGAACTGAACTTTAAGTTTTATTTAATTTTGATTAACTTAAAGAGCCACTTGCGGCTAGCCGCTGCCATATCAGTAGCAGCTTAGAGCTTCAAGAACATGACAATACAAACCCGAGCACTCTACGATGCCTCTGGAGCACAGATCTTTCGCCCACCCTTGGTACAGCTCCACAGACAGATCACAGAACAGCACAGGCATTTGCATTTAGTGATGGCATTTCGGCAAGAGAGCCAGGCACTGCTCTCGCGTGCTAACAAATAAAGGGGGGTGGAAAGGGAAAGGAAGTTTTGGGGGGTTTTGTGGGTTTTCTCCCTAGTATCCCAATTCTCCTTGTAGTTTGTGGCCTTTCCCCAGCCAAGACGCGCACATATCCACAGAGGGAGCTGAACTACTAGAGCCAGCGATTGGCTGTTAGTTTTTAAAATAATCCTGTAAACCCTGAGCGCTTGGGCTATCAAATCCAGCCACCCGGGACCCGTCCTTTCCTCTAGGCCTGTCAGGTGAAACATCAGGCAGGCTGGCGCGGGACAGGGGCGGCGGCCGGACCTGCGCGAGCCACTCTCGTTCTCCTAGGCTCGCAAAACGCTCGCAGCACTGCGGGCAGCCTGTGCCGCCGGAGGCGGAGCGCGTGCCAGCGCTTTGTGCACTGTGCGGGGGTGGGTTCATTATGTGCCTCGCTCCGACCTCATGCCCTGCTCTTTGAGATGGTCTTTCGCCACCCTAGGGGAAACATCCCCAAGATCCCCAAACCCGACCAGCACGGCAACTCCCCTGACACAGCCACCGCCCGTTTCCAAAGCCCACCCACCACCGCTGCGCCCTCCTCCCTTCCCCAAGAGACCACCACGCGGCCTCTTCGCAAAGCCACCGGCCGCTTTCCCCCAAACCGTGACCCGACCTTTCTAGACACAACCCGGCACCGCGCCCCCGCCCCTCCCCGCGGCCAGACAGCCCGGCCCTCCCTCCGCGCCCCCAGGCCCAGCAGGCCCCCAGCAAGGCCCCGAGCCGCCTCCTCCTCGCCCGTGGCGCACGCACGTGGCGCACTCACCCCCTACTAGCTGCCTCGGAGCTCTAGAAACACTCCCGGGAGGGAGCCCCCGCCCCCTCAGCACCGTCCGCCCGAAGAAAAGTGGGTGGGGGGAAGTGGACACGGGCAGAAAAAGGAGTACATAGGTGGTGAGAGCGGTGTTGCAGGGGAGGCCCGGCAATTAACTGGATGGCGTTGCGGCTGTTGCGCCTCTGCTGAACGCCTAGCCGGCGCGGATTCACTTTCCACACAAATCATCTGGAGGGATTGTTGCTGCCTGCAATCAATAACTCAGCGGAGTGAGCTGCTGAAACCAGAGGCGTCCCCTGTCTGGGTCTTTAAGGGGCTGTCCGGACTGAATCCCAGCCCTTTGCTTCGCAGACAAAGAAGTGGGCACCCAAACGGAGGACGAGATTTTTAACCCCCACCCCCACCCCGATCCCCGGTAAAGATTTTTAAAAATTAAAGGGCACACACGTAGAGAGGTATCTAGAAGAAATAGTTAAAAGGGGAAGTCTGAAAATCCATTCTTTGAATTGAAGGTTTCTGTGATATTTTAAGAAATGGGATAGAATCAATGTTCCAATGAACATTTAACAATTTTTTAAGTAAAGGTAAAGTCCATTAAATTTAGCCGTGCATATGGATACTTTTAAGTCAGCCACACATTCGCAAGCAAATTACTGCTCAAGCCTTATTTGGGCATACTGATCCAGGAAAAGGAAGAAATGTATCATAATTTGTAGTGGCATTTTTAAAAGCCTTAACATATCTTTCAGACATTATTTCACGAAGATTGCACTTCTGTAAGGTGAAAAGGCCCTGGGAGATGTGTATCATGATTCCCACGTAGACTGGAAAGCCACGCAGAGCTGGGAGAAAGGGAATTCACTAGGTCTCCTGATACTGACTACCGGTCACCAAGTTTAGACTAACTCAGTGTGAGCCTGAGCTTAAAAGACTGAACTCAGCTAAGACTCCTAAAATAAAAGTGGCCCAAATCCTTCCTTTCGCCTTGACTCTGAAGCAACTTAAAAATAAAAATAAATCTTAAGAGATGTCAACCCAAATATAGAGGCTTTATACATCTTAATGAGTCTTTACTATGAAACGTCTTCTTGCTAATACAAATGGGAAAATGGATATTGACCATCATGGTCTGATACCTTTCAAGGTTGGGAGGACCAGACCCATTCTGAAGCCAAGGAAAAGTTCATCTGTGGCTCAAAGTCATAGAAAGCTAGTTTCAAACAGAGATGAGAACACAGGAGACTTCGTCTGTGCTTGATACAGTTCAATACTGCTTCAAAGGATAGGGTATTATTGTAATAGAATTCGTAAAGGGTACTGAATCCATATCACTAATCTCAAAAGTATTTAAAATGGGCCTTTAGGCAACACATAAAGTAAGCCCTTTCAGCAACCTCAGTATCCCAACTTGATAAATTTTGTTAGTTTGGGATATGATGGATTTGACTTTCTTCCTTGTAATTCTTCATCAGATATAAAATTAAAGATACAAAAATAAAGATCAATATAGGATCTTTAGATATGAGATAAAGGATATGATAAAACCTTGGCTTGGAATAAGAAATCCTCTGTGTATTACAGATTTGCAATCACAAGCAGTCCTTATGGTGTTTGTGCATGGGCTAACGCTGTAACTAAAGAATTTTTGAAATTTAGATATTTGGCACTATTTATATTAAAGATTATAATTATTATCACAGTTAATGATAATGTGAATTATTTTATATTCAATACACATTCATTTGGTTTAAAATTAGAATTAACATTAATGTTACTTCAGATTAGAAGTTTTAGAAATAAATTTATTTGAATCTACTTTAGTATCAGCATTCTTAAAAACTTTTTTTTAACTATATACCTTGTTGAACTCACACATTTTAAGGTGCCAAAGAAGAGTTGCAAACTGTGAAGTAACTTCTATGAAGAGATGAAGTAAAGAATGGAAGGCAAATGACCGTACGTGTAAGTGGTGAGTGCCTAACATCTGTGACATCATCCACCACAAAGTTCATTCATAAAACTGCCAACTCTTTGTCCTTAGATATTTATAGTGGAGACATGTATGAGAGTGATAGAGTTATAGAACCAGTGTATGCTTTATATTATAAGCAATACCATACCATTTTGCTTCAAGCTCACATCACCTTTCCGGGCCTACCTTTGCAAGTCTCTTTTACAATTACTCCATTTCAGGGGAGGTTATGTATGTCATCTCTACTGTAACTATAAAAAGATACAACCTTTTTAATGCTACTGGAATTTGTATCTTACTACTTTTTATACTTTTCCGAACTTGTATGTTCAATGATCCTGTTTGTGTTGAAAGTATTCTGGCTGAAGAGCAAATACTATACAGTTGAATAATCTTGAGGGGTAGATTAACCTACAGCCTTTCTTCATCTTAGGGTGGGTTGCTGTGGCAACCACCCCAGCTAACTTTAAAATAATCTTTTAAAGCTCACTTCAAGAGCTACACCCAGCGTGGGCCAAGCTTAAAAGCAGGCAGACCAGCGCACGGGGTGTTAGCAGACTGCTGATTTAATGTAGGGATGTCGTAAAGAGAGGAGGGTGGAGTAAGATGGCGTGCAACCCTGAAGAGAAATTGGCAATCAGCTTTCCCTAGAGTTAAAATCCTGAGGATCATGCTGTCTGTGACTTCTGTGGCTCTTTAATTAAATATATTGCTAAACAATTCTTTTGGGGGAAAAGCAAGTCAATATATATTTACATGTTTAATAAAGCACTTAGGATAACTATTTAATGAAGGGAATATTTGATGATTGGGAAAAAAAAAAAAAAGCTAGTTTAAATAGTACATCAATTCCAAATATCATTTTCTCTTAAAGAAAAGAGGAACAGAAAAGCCACTAGCTTCCAACTGGCTTAAATGATATAAGAACTTTCTATTTTCCAGTCATAGAACTGGAATAGATTGGAGAATTCATTTAACGCATAAGCAAACTGAAGCCCAGAAAGGACACACTCATTAGTCAGGCACCAATCTTGAACCAGAGAGTCCAGGCCTCCTAACACTTGATACAAGCTCCTCCCTACACCAGAACATCTTCTGACCCTAGCCAAGGACCAGTAGGCAGCAAGGATCAAGTTAATTTTGGTTAAAAAAAAAAGTGTCCAGAAGTCTTTAAAGAATAATACAAAGCACATTTTGGATTAACCACTTTATAGATGACCAATAAATAATTTTAAATCTCAGGTGACTTTCTACTGTATATTTCTGCATAATCTCTTCTGTTCTGGAACAACTATAGAGGCCCATGGGAAAGAAACTAATACTAATATTAACTTAGATCACACATAATTAAGAAGCTAAATCTGCTAAGGGGAATATCTTATATTTTAAGAGGCCAACTGTGATATATTCCAGATCTGAATTATTTTCAAATTATCCACAGTGCGGGGTTATACATATTTTTGAATGCTCGTACTATCATTGACAATTATGGGTTTGTTATGATGTTTAGTATTAAATAAATCTTAAAAATGTTAAAAGGTAAAATAGTTTCTTTTTGAAGGAAAACAATCTAAAACTGAAGTGTACTGTGGTAGATAGAAATATTCTCTATAATCCATCAAAAATAGTCTGGCCCAAAGTCATGTATTGCCTGTGTCTACTTGGCTCATGTAAAATAGGCTGTTATAATTCAATACATTAATTTCAGGCATTATAGCAATAAACTTAGATGTTTCTGCAAAATGGCTTGCTTTGTCAGGACTTTGTGACTGGAAAAAAGTAAATTCATTTCACTTTTACCACCATATATAGACATATCTTAGTAATCAAAATGTCTGTGACCTTTAAATTTTTGGATTTTTTTAAGAAATTGTACCTTAAATGAAAACCTGATATAGATTACCTCTGCCATATTTTTAAAATGAATTCATGATAGTAGCAAACTCACCGGATGAAAAACATCAAGCAAACAAATATATTGTAGATACTAAGCTGCAAGAAATATCACTCTTTCAGATGGTTTTTGCTTTGGGACAGTTTGCCATGCTTTCCTATAATAAAGCAAGAGAATTTTCTGAGCTGTGCTGATAGTCACAATGGTGATGAGCCAGAAGCCTGGAGGTTGCTCAGATCTACTTGTACTTGCCTGTAAAATCAACCTTCTCCTTTCAAGGGAAGCCTTGGGGCAGACACCTAAATGTTGAACCCACTCTTCTGAGAAAAGCTCCTCACATCAGATAGCCCCTACAATGAAGCAGGATGCTTTTCCAATCACCCTGTCCTCACCGTTAAAATAGTCTTCAGGCAGAGCGCAGAACTTGACAGGAAATGCAACTAGTCATTGGGTTAAACACACAGTGCTGAAAGGAATTTTTTAAAGTGAGGAAATACCTTTAATTAGCTAGATATTTCAGTATACTCCCATTGTCTCCTCTTGTACATTCAGTTATTATTTCCCCAATGTATTTTCTCTTCTTCCTTTCACAATATTAAAATTGTTAAGTTTGGTTTAGACATTTTTATATAATCTGTAGTCCTACTGGCGTGCAATCTTGTCTTTCCATGGTTTGTGTAGTAGTTGGTATATTTTATCTTTGGCTTTACTGGGAGTGGTGTAAATTGGCTAGGGAGGGGAGGTGCCCAATCTCTAGTAGCCTTTCCTAAATCTTGAATATTAACCTATTTTTTTGGTAAGGAAAAGTGTTTACGATGCTTAACCTTAACATAAGTATCTTCCTTATCAGTCTCTAGTTCTGCTTCCTGTGCAGCTGAAACTCTTCAGGATAAGTGAAGTCATCAGCTATCGGATAGGGAAGCCTAATGCATTTGGGAAGTTGGTTTGGTTTACATGTTAATGCCCTGGATAAAATCCAGTAAGGTGTGGAAGAGAGAGAGTGGGAGGGTGGAGGGGGAAATCTCCGAGGAAGCTGCTGCCTCGGTAAATATTTCCAAACTGATTAGAAAGTTCACGGCCCCACGAGGAAGTCAAGATTTCAAATACTGGTAATTGTTTTATTATTTTGTACATTACGGACTACCACTTGAGATGCATTTCGGCTCGCTTTCCAGCCCTCCAGCCTCTCAGAGCCGAATTCTGGGCGTGCAGGAAAAGCGCGCTGGAATCGCGTGCTGCAGACATCCTGGACGGTGGCTTTTATGCGTGAGTAACAGAGGAGCGCTCCGACCGGTGGAAGAATGAAGTGGTTAACGCGTCTCCAAACGGGGGAAAAGTCACAAGAGCAACTATTAGGGTCGCGCTCCGATTGGTCAGAGGAAAGATCCCGACTTTAGAAGGACTTTCCTGCTGGCTGGCTCGCAGCGTCCCCGGGGATCGAGCGCGCGGCAGCCGGAGACTCGGTTCTCCGAGCGTCCTCGGCGGCGGCGCCGGGAGAAAGCAGCGAGCCGCCGCTCGCGGTGTTGTCTTCATTTCGTGCAGTAAAGAATTGTCATTAGGTTTGCGTATGGCATGTGCCATTACCCCACCGTAAAACTAAAATTAGCAAAATGTCAGGAATGGAAAGATTGATTCACCAAGATGCAATTATCATTTAAAAGTCCTTGATTGAGGTACTGATGTTCAGTGATTTATTCTGCATACCATATACATAATTAAAGTAGTGTAGTGGAGTAATTTATCAATCTAGTTGAGACTGGAGGGGTGAGGAGGGAACTGCTGTATGTTTGTTTTATTAAAATGCTCCAAGGTCTAGTCCCGCCCCCCTTTTGCAAGAGTGAAACTGATGATTTCTCCAGCTCGCGAGGAGAGAGTCAACGGTTTGGGATTGTGAGGGAGAGGGAGACGGAGAGGAAGAGGCAGCGCGAGGCAAAGGCAAGGACAAAATAAAATTAAGGGGAAAAAAGAAGGCAAGAGGCACTTCATCGGGCGTGCTGCTTAGAACCCCAAGCCCGTGTGCTCCGTTTTCCCTGCCACCCCCGCCTCCCCTCCCAATATCCTTTCCACCACTCCCCCCGCCCCCCGCCTTTTTTACGCGATGTTTCAAAGGCTGTGAGCGGCTCTCCTTTTCCCATTCGTCTTCTGTCACTTCCTTCCTGGACGCAGTTTTCTGGACGAGTCTGGTTACTTTTAATCCGGCCGGCCGCTGAGAGCCACTTTCTCCTCCTCCTCCTCCTCTTCCTCCTCCTCTTCCTCCTCCTCCTCTTCCTCCTCCTCCTCCGAGCGGCCTCGGCGCACGCGAATGCGCGGCCCCGAGCGCGCCTCCCCCGCGCGCGCTCCCGTCGCGCGCGCGCACACACACATCGTCTCCAGCTCTCTGCTCGCTGTGCTCGCAGTCACAGACACTTGAGCACACGCGTACACCCAGACATCTTCGGGCTGCTATTGGATTGACTTTGAAGGTTCTCTGTGGGTCGCCGTGACTGCATGTTTGAATCAGGTGGAGAAGCGCTTCAAGGCTGGATGAAGTAAAGATTATTATTTTTTTTCTCTTTCTCTCTCTTAAGAAAGGAAAATATCCCAAGGACTAATCTGATCGGGTCTTCCTTCATGTAAGTACCTCTGACATTTCTCGAGGAAATAGAAATAACTTGGGTATTGTTTCTGAAATCTGCATCCAGATATTCCACGGCACGAGGTCTCTCCCTGTGCCTTTTTGAAGGCTGAAGTTGAGGTTTGTTGTGCGTTCTTTTCGTTAGATTCCATGATTTCCTTGTCTGTTGCTAGAAGTAACTTTTTAGATAGTCTTATCCATTTGTCATCAGTTATTGAAATCTCTCCTGCCTCGTTCTTGTCATACCAGTGTGTTTAAAGTTTCATGAAGTTAGTTCACGTCGTTAGCATCTTTGATATGGTGGAGCGTGTGGAGCCCGGTGGATTTTAATATTTCACAGAATAGTCTGTGACCTTGAAGTACATGCCTTAAGATGTAGCCGTTAGTTCACTGTGTAAAGATGCTCCTATGAGTTCCCCCAAAGACTCTGATTTGCTTTGGGTTGTGCTTCTGAGCCACTAATTCTTGGATTAGTTTGAGCTAAAGCATGGCTGTCTGTCAGAGTCCACCTTTGTGTATCTCCTTCCCTTACCAAAGAGCTGGCTTGATAGAGGGCTTCTTAATTGGTGTGGGCAAAAAGTAATACCCTGGCCGTGGTAGTCTGTACATTTCACAGTTTGTATTGGGATTTCAGTATCTGCAGTGCTGTTCAGGTCAAGTCAAATACTTAGCTGTTTAAAAACAAACAAGGCTAAGTCACTTAAATTGCTTTTTGTTTGGATGAAAGTTACCAAACTCAGTGATAAAGTTTGGCACCAAGGAAACATAGATAGACATGGCACATTGTTTATTGTATTATTAAATATTATGCAAGTATTTAAATTTAACACTAATGTTATCTCCTTCCCAGAATATGGCTACGGAGTCTTAAAAGAAATTTTATATCTGAAACATTTCTGACTATTTTAGATCCAGTAGTTATTATTTTTGGGGAAAAGCTCTTTATCTTCATGTTTCAGGAATGTGTGTCTTTTGTACAAAATACCTTTATATGTAAATGCTGACAGGATAATAAGTAGAATCAGGCTCTCTGCCAGTTCTTTACCGGGTCCTCAGTGGAGAATTGCTTTGACACAAAGTGCATTGTACTATTGTGAATCTGATACTAACTCTAATAGTAACTGTCTTATGAAATGGTTAGCGACTGCATATATTTTCTAAGTTCTATAAAGGGAACTCCAGCCACTTCATTATACCGTCAAAAAGAGTGACCAGCCTCTTTTTCACTGGCACCTTGCAATGGAATTGTGGTTGCAGAGTAAAGATGTTGATGTAGAGTATAATAACTCCAACCCCTAGAGACTTGGTAGGGCATGGCAATGTGACCACCTGTGAACTCCATTTCACCTCTGTATTGCACACTAATTTTAGCTTTAAATAGGTTAACAATCTCCAATTTGAAAATAAAACATCTTATTTAATTTTTTAAAAATGTCAGTTTTGGCTAGTCTTTGAAAACGTTCAGTATGTACCAGTATGTCACAAGCAATATCTTTGTTTCTCTATCAGTTTCGGTTAAATATAATGCAACTGATAAACCATATTATTATCTTCTAGTGTATGCCTGAAATGATTTATTAAGTTAAAAGAAGCAGTTCTAAAGCAAGTGGGTTCAGAGCTTGACAGGTAAAATGAGATGTACCTATCTCATATTCTATCGCAAGAGGACAAAAATCTCTAAAATCACATCTCTCGTTCTCTTTGTAGGAAAGTACATATGGCTATACATTAGACTACTAATTCAATTCTAAAAGTTCTTCTCAAAACACACTTTAAACTCAGTATTTGTTTAAAATATAGTTCCTCAGTCACGTTAAGAAGATAATAGTTGGCAGTCATTTTACTTCAAGTTTTATGAAACTTTATAAAAATCTCCTGTTTTTTTACTACTGTAATTCATACAGCTTTGGAGTGTTTGTGGCATATTTTCCAGACTTCTTACTGAAGACAGTATTTTACTTCAGTCATTAATTATGCTATTTATATTCTAATTGTTGTGCATGTATGTGGAATAGAATGAAAGACAATATGAAACATGTAACTTTTATTAAATATTATTTGTCTCTTAGGTTTAATGAGCACTTTATAATAAAAAGTTAATTTTCCACCTTTCCTGAGCTGTTCATACTTTAAAAGTATGCAGTCACATATGTGAACTTTTCAGAATGGAAGTACGTTAACATTAAATCCACGAAGTTTCACTAACTAGGACTTTACTGTACCTTGTCTCTTTTCTTCTTTGCAAATATATTTTTCAAAATTTGGGGGAAATGGTTCATTCCAGTAGGGCAGAGAGCTATCTGATGATTCAAAATTGAATCCTGAAAAAGCATCATGTTTTAGATTTTTCAGATTTCTATGAATTCCCTCCTTGGCCCTCACATTACCAAATCAATAAATTGCATACCACTTCAGCCACATCTTTCTAATAAATGATTTCTTGTATTTAAATTTGTTTTATAAAAAACCGAGCTGAGTAACTCCTTGGCATAAGATAACATGATATTTCAAAACTTTCTTCTGTTTATTGTAGTATATTTTGTGGTTTTATTTCCCAACTCTACATGCGGTATATTTTGAGTCTATGAAATCTCAGAAAGTGACAAAAATGGGGAAATATCTGTGCAGCAACACTTGTGCTACATAACAACAGCAAAAATAGTTATTAAACAGAGAACCTTGGCTTCAGGGACATGATTCAAAACAACATGGAAGAATTTCATGTTCAATTAAAGGTCGCAGAGTGGACTTTAAAGAGATTATTAATAAAGTTCTACTTTTTTCTCTAAAGCACATCCTCTGAGAAAACACTGCACAAATTAATATCTAAAACTTGTAAAAATGCACATATTCATTTTGTAAAGATAGTGATTGCCTGGACACAATGAAAAGATTTAATCACTGAGGTGCAGTCCGTGTGCTGTGTGGAAGGATGGGTGATTAAGATCCCCAACCTCAGCACTGTACCTTAATCTCATGGGCGCGTGGACTGCCCTGCACTCTGCAAAGCCTGACTGTTCACCGAGATCTGTCATCTTTAGGAAATCAAACCAGATTACAGAGGCAATTCACAAAACCAGGAGCGACAAGAGAGTCTGTGCACCTTACAAAAGGCGGATTATGCAGTTCACATGTTATTTTGATAGGTCAAAGATAAAAGCTGATTGTCGAGGAATGGCAAGACACTCCAATTTCAAATGATTGTAGATAAGGATACCACAACCCTGTTGCTTCATCGTAATGCAGAGCCATTCAAACAGTGGAAAACTCAGTTTTCAAATGACAGGCTTTCAATAGTGAAATAAGAGCAAACATGTCCTTTATATATTTGTCTTCATTGCTTAAATTTTAAGTTCCATCACTTCTTTGGGAACAGGCATCAAGTTCTGGCTGCTTCTGGGAAGCAGTTATTATAAGGCTAAATTGCAGTAGACATTTTCAGAGGCGTTGTAGAGAGCACAAAACAGAATTTGCCAGAAATAAAACATACACCCATGGTATTGAGTAACTGAGCAGAAAATGCATAGTAGTCGATAGCCATTATGTTATTCTGTTACCAAATATATTCTTCATAAAAATGTGTAATTACGTAGTTAAGAATCCATACATTTGAAATATATCTTGATAGATATTTATTGGTCAAATTATATATATTTTATGCATGTTATATAAAGATCATTCTTTACAACAAAATATGATGTTTTGAGAGTTTATTTCAGAGAATAAAGTTTTGGTTTACATAATAACATTTTGAAAACTCCAACTTCTTACATGTCCAACCCTGCGGTAATTTCTTGCTTCTTTACAAATTGAAGTCCTTTTTTACCCAACTGATGCCTCCTAGTGTTTCACACAATAAAACACTAATGAGTCACCCATAAATGTAAACATTGTGTTTTCATTGCCTACATCTTTTGTGATACATAAAATTAATATTTATGTGTTTAATTTTCTGTGCATTATTCTAAGAAGATAGGAAATTCTCGTGAATGAGATGTTTCATCTGAGTGGATTTGTGGCACACCCTTGCAGGTTTTCTTTGACCATAACAGTATCTTACAAAGTTTTAATAAGTTTGTTGCCTTCAGTTCCAGTTTATGTGTTCACTGTTTATATTCCTTCTTATTCCAAGTGAAAAACATAGGCAGAAGAGCAGAGCTTCCATTTTGTAGGCCCGGAAATTATGAAGCTGAGCTCATCCGGGAATGCCTGATGAACAAATTGCAAAGGGCCTAACCATTTCATTTAAACACTAAGATATCTTAAGAGAGGGATAAAATTTTGCCGACTCTGTGTCTTTGCACTTGCAAATTTCTATGTAAAAGTGGAAGAAAGAGAAAGAGGGTTTAGAAAAAAATTAAAGTGCATAGATTCCCACAAATATGGAGTGTATCACTTTATTAGAAAATAACAATAAAAACACTTGCCTTGGGAGTATATTATTCTGCATAATAGAGGGAAGACTCGTTAGAACATAAGTTCCCGTGACCAGCAGATTGTCTTAATGAGGTAGAAGTTAGTGGATTCCAACTTTGGTGTAAGTTTTCTGTCATTAGGATGATGAGCGTGGATTCCCGATATTCTTGCCCTTCTGTGATTTCAAACAGCTTTCTGATTCTACTTATGAAGATGGAGACTTTAGTTTCTGAACATTTTTTTCTTTAAACTATTTATGAAAGGGAGGAGGCATTCCTCTAATAGGTCTGAAATTCAAAGGATGCGCTCAAAAACCTGTCACATTTATGGGCCTCTTCTTGAGTTGTCATACAAGACACACGTGTGCAAAAACATCCACAAATTTCTTCCACTGACACAAGTGCTCTGAGCATCCAAACGTAGACACTAGACTGAACGTTGTTCGTTTCTGTTGCCCGTGTGTGTGTCATTTAGTTCTCCTGATTCAAAACACACAGCATTTTAACAATATTTGACTCTCATTTAAGATTTTCTAATTTGGTCAATAATAAAGGGGTATTACAATTCTGTGCATGTTGGACACATTTCAAAGAATGTAA